TCATCAGCTTCGCCGAGACAGGTGGGCCGCTGCTTTGACTGACCCCCTTTGCTCGGGCCGCCCCTCGCCTGCCCTCCGCGGGGGGGGGAGGGAAGAGGCACCCTGCCCTTCTCCCCTCTCGGGGTCCCCGGGCCGGCCTTCGCCCTTCCTGCTTTGGTTTGGGAGATCCCCGTGCGTGCCCCGGGACACCCACCGGTTGGTGTGTCTCACATTTACCACCACCACCCCCCTTTCCGTTCATCCTTCTTGTGCCGACACCTGACCTTTTCAGTTCCCATCGCCCCCTCTGCTTTCCCCACCCTGCAGACTCAATTGCAGTTGGGATCCAGTGCTTTGGGATGTTCGTTGCAAATTTTCCTACTGAATTCTGGTTCTCTGGTCTACTTGCTCTTTGATTTTCAGTTTGTCTGGTAAATCCATCCACTCATTGTCCCTTTGACCTGCACAGCACCCATCTAGATCCTACACAGCCGACTGGCCTACTTCCTAGAAGGCTAGGTATCTATGCCCCTGGCTACACCCCTATCCATTCATCTCACACATCAAACTCACCCTGGTACCTGCCCTGAATGATTTCCCCTAGCCAGTCGTTAGGCCACCACCTCTACAATGCCAGCTTCGCCCATCCATTATCCACCTCTTGCTGCCTTCAGATGCAGGGCAAGAGAAGGATCACACCTCTGCAATCCTTCCCCTACGGCTATTCTCAGACACCTCTGCAGTATTCATACCTGTTTATATCACCTTACCACTCCCACCACATGTCCACTGTCTCTCATGCCACCCTTCTCTTCCAAATCACCTATTTATCTCTTCTGCACCCTGTTTCCCAGTGTTGTACAGAATATCTCCCCTTCCATTCCTAACCTTGGATGACCTTTTCCCCTTATTCAAGGATCCATACACATATCTTCTGCAACCGTCCCTGTGCCCCACCCACATGTGTGCCCTTGGGCTTCTCTTCTTCCTGTGCCCCTTGCAATCACTGGCATCTGTCTGCCCCATTGACACCCACAGGTTAGGCACCTATTCTGCAAAAGGGCCTTTGTATCAATACCCTATTCATTCCTTCATCCCCTTCCTCTCCCATATCCCCCATCATTCAACTTCAGGTATAGTCTTCAACTGCTTCTTGTCACTCAGGTCCTTTGCTTCACCTATGCATCCGTCTGCCTCAGGTGTTCTAGCCCCCTTTGCTGACATGTGCTCTCTATCATCAGTTCATGAGTGCACTGCCCTCTTGGTGATCCCATCTGTTCAACCTTCATGTGACCATCTGTGGTCTCTCACCATATACTGTATACATATTCTCTAAAATTCCAGAAAACCCATGGCATACCTCTCTCTGCAGCGTTTTCTCCTTATTCATCTATTCCCATGCCCAGTGTATGGGTAACAGTGAGTCTATCCATTTATTTCATGCCCCAGATGTTCATCTACTGTATACAATCACCTTGTTGCATTCAGCCACTCACCTTAATGGTCTTGTCCATTTCTCCTCTCATTTACCCATTCATTAGTAATACCTTTCCAACGTCATCCCTGTGTTGGAAAATCCATCCTCTTCCTGATATTGTGTCTCCCTTTGGTTTCTTCTGCTTGTAATAATAGCACAATATTCATCCTTTCTTGTTTCCTTTCTTCTATTCCTGGTTTAATTATCCAAACTGCTGGCTTTCCTTCTCCCATGATATCCACACTTTGACTATTCCTCCATCCATCTCAAACGGCATTGGTTGCCACCACCTTCCTACTAGTCCCTGCATATTGGATTGGTAGAACACCTAAATCCGGCATCTCTTTATTCAAGTTGTCCTCTATTTGAGGGAGATATTCTTGCTCCATATCTTGTGCCAAACTTACCCTGCCATCCCTCCTTTATACCTCTGCACTCAATGACCTTCCCAGCGAACGTTTTCAGATAATCTTTTTTCTTTCTCTCACCCTTTCCATCTCTTCACCAGTTCACAAATGCATACAGCCAGTACTAGATTTCAACCTATGTTCCAGAGTAACCCGAAGATTCCTTGGAACCAAAGCTCAGGATTGTTCCTTTTTTGGACTACAGGTCCCAAAATCCTTCAGCCACTATGGCCAGTTATGGTCCAAGAAAGGAACTTTTGGAAGTTCTGCCTTATTAGGGGTCCTTTAATGCAAAGATCAGTCATGATGGACCACCTTTCCTCCTCTGCAGCAGAGCCAACAGAAAAAAGCAGGAGAGTGTGTTCTATGTTACATTTTCAGTTGATACAGGGAGATGCTGTGGCCTAACCTATGAGATTAGAGTGTATGTGGCATGTACTGTGGATCCATGCCATTTGGCTACAAGTTCCTCAGCAGATCAGGACATGTGAGGTTTCCCTTTAGGTAGAAAGTTTGAGAAGTGCTGTGCTAGCTTATACATGGAGGGGAAAAGATGGGTGGATGGGTTATGGGATGGGCCATTAGACCGGTTACATGAGAGATGAGTGGATCTATTTAATCCTTTAGTATTCATTTTATATTTTTCTTCACTGCCACTGACAAATATTGCATATTGGACAGGTCGTTGCTTATTTGCTGTTTGACAAGTGTCAATATGGCATATAGGTCTAGATGCTTTGGGAGGCTATATGGCCAAGATGTGTGTGAGGCCCTCCAGGTGCGGTTCATGTGCAACTTTTGTATTCTTTCAGGACTGAATTTGCTGGCTAGGGTCTACGGGTGTTGCACTACCATACGTTGCCTGATTTTGCTTAGGTCACACATGTACTGCTGAGACAGAATGCTGGGCTTAGAAGGCATATGGCAAGCTTCGGTTCATCATGGTCTCAGATAAAGTCTAGGTTAAGAATACCTGTACTTTTGTCAAGGCTAGAGGATCACCACAGAACCATATAAACCAAGGGACCTGGATGATTGAACGGCACTGTAAGAATTGCTGTTAACGATGTCAGCATTGAGATTTTCAATCGCCTGTCATGTTTTGGATTGTGGAACTGAAATGTCTGAAATGCAACGGAGTGAAGAAAAATAAAGAAACCCAGAATCAGTGTGTGGTTAAATAAAATACAGTTAATTAAAAGCGAGCTCCACTGGGTTCAGTATGGCACTCAACCCCTCACACATACACACACCAGATGAATGTGCATAGGATTTGCAAGCTTGGGTCAGAAATATTTGGGTTGGGAGCGATCAGTGGCACATGACAGCTTATAAGTGCCACATATAAGTGGAGCTGCCAGATACCTTCTAAGTGGGTGTGAGGAGGGGAAGGGACACAGCAGATGCAAGATAGCATTGTTTGACTCACCCAGAAAATCTATGTGGGACCTGGGACTAATCAGTGCCTGTGACTCACCATTTATCTGCTTGGCTAAATCTCCCAAGAGAAGATGCTTCAGGCTACTTCCCATTAGAGTGGCCAGGTGCTAAACAGAGTAGGGCTCCTACACCTTTCATAGGGGTGAGGAAGAGAGAGCTAAATTGCCTCTTCCATACAACTGTGATGGATGCAGGGGTTGTGGCCTGTAGTTTGTGCTAAGGTGGTTGTGCGCCTTGTTGGCCCTGAGGTGGGAACTCACATAACTGAATGTTTCTTTGCTCTCTCCTCCGCCCTTCCTATAGACAGCTAGCATGTCAGGAACACTGGCAATCTGCTCCGCAATCAGTTAACAGACTAACATGGCTAACGCAGCATGGAGAAATCCTATGTTACTTGTTTTTTCTAGGGAGGATTGTATTGACACCTGAAATGATGCAGATTTAGAACCTTAGTGAGAAACCCGGCCCTTGTTCAGTGGACCACTCCACTGCCAGTGTTTCCCCAGTAAGAACCAGGCCTTCACAAAGTGGGCTAGTCAAATGCTAGTGTTTTTCAAGCATGATGGGGCTGTTGGGTGAGTTTACAGGGCACATCTAAATTGTAACCAAATCCTTTCTTCTCAAACCGTTCCCTGGTTGTTAACAATTTGTGCTTTCTGGGAAAATTATATGCGAAGCAGGCTGCCTCTGCCAGGCAAACACTTTTTTTTTTAAGAAAGGGAAGGGAAAGAAAACTAATTAGCACTTCTCCAGGTGCTCACAGGGCTCCTTTCATGGTTTGCGATCTATATGACCTTAATTACTTGTATACTGATTTCTAAGGATCTGATTCTCCCACTCTCCAAATAGCCTGAATGAGTTCTCTTGGGAAGCTCACTTTGAAATGGGTTTCCATCACCCATTTAGCTGCTAAATACACATTGCAATTCATAGCTGGTCATTGTTTTTATGATTTGGACATCTGTTGTTTTAGGAACTGCAGTAATATGGTGGAAATATTGCCTTTTTTTAAAAAAAAAAATACACTTCTTTGGTACTTATTGCCATATTTTTTTCTCTCCTCTCCCTGCTGCCCCCTCCCCGCCATCCACCCCTGCCTTATATCTTAGATGACCTGGCCTCCTCTAGGATGCGGCTGTATTTCTTCATTTCCAATGAAGGGAATCAGAATTTATTTGTGGTTCAAGCCAGCTTATGGCTTTACTTGAAGCTGCTTCCATACGTCTTGGAGAAAGGTAGCCGGCGAAAAGTGAGAGTCAAAGTGTTTTTCCAAGACCCGGACACTAGCAACAAGTGGAATGTGGTTGAAAAGAAAGTCGATCTCAAAAGAAGTGGCTGGCACACATTCCCCATGACAGAAGCAATCCAGGCTCTGTTTGAGAAAGGGGAGCGAAGGCTGAACTTGGATATTCAGTGTGACGCCTGCGAAGAATATTCAGTACTGCCAATTTACGTGGACCCTGGGGACGAATCTCACCGGCCCTTTTTAGTCGTGCAAGCCCGCTTGGCTGGCAACCAGCACCGAATCCGGAAAAGAGGCTTGGACTGTGATGGCAGGACCAATTTATGTTGCAGGCAACAGTTTTTCATTGACTTTAAACTCATCGGGTGGAATGACTGGATCATAGCACCGCCGGGTTACTATGGGAATTACTGTGAAGGGAGCTGTCCGGCCTATTTGGCTGGCGTCCCGGGCTCAGCGTCCTCTTTTCACACGGCCGTCGTGAATCAGTACCGCATGCGAGGGCTGAACCCAGGGACCGTGAACTCGTGTTGCATCCCAACCAAACTTAACACAATGTCCATGCTGTACTTTGACGATGAATACAACATCGTGAAGAGGGACGTTCCCAATATGATTGTGGAAGAATGTGGTTGCGCCTGATGGGGAGGGAGGGTTGTCTGTGAAAGGGGGGGAGGGGACAGGGAAGGGGTGGGGGAAGAACATTCCCATACAGAATGGGGATCAGAGTGTGTTTTGCTGTCTTTCTTCCTTCCAAGCATGGAGGTTAAAAAAAATCCTCACAGAGGAAATGGCAGCAGTAGCAGCGGCGGCAGCAACAACAACAGCAACAAAGATATAAAGATATATATCATTTCACTGTGTTGTCAGGACAGTGGCAGTTTATGGATCCCGGACACTAAAATATGCTACCACCTATAAACTAATGCTATGAAGTACCTTAATCCCACCCCCACACCCAAGGACACAAGCACATATACTCACAGCGACACGCACATGCAAGTTACACGACTCAGCTTGGAGGAGGGAAGCAAGGAACAGAAAGGGAGTTGAAATTCCTGCCATTGATAAACCATTAGCCATTTCTTCTGTTAGCCAGACATGTGATGAATCAAAGCACTGGGAAGCACAAGAAAAGAAAACATGTCTAATATATATCCTCGTACACGAGTATTTTAAGTGACCAGACATACAAACGACCACCATCACCTCTAAGGTCTAAAATAAGGAAGTAAGAAGCTACCTGCTTAAGGCAAGATGAGTCCTTCCTCTTGATGTTAAACACTATGTAAATATATATGTTTGGAAAAACACAAATGGTCTATATAGCACTTCCAGGGTAGAATATTGTTGAAACCAGAGAGAGAGAGAGGAGAGAGAGAGAGAGAGAGAGAGAGGAGAGAGAGATTGAAAGATACAGAAGTAAATATGACGAGCTTAACATAGAAATGGTTGCTGTGTTCTTCTGAATGATGCATTGGCATGATTTCATGTTTTCATGGACCATTAGCTTCTCCCATACCTACCCCATGGGGTCTGCTATCACAGTTATGCCATCTAAAAAAGGGCTTGCTCCACCCTGTCCCTGTTTTGCACACTGTTGCTATGTTCTCAGAACATCGGCAACATCAAAAGTTGCAATTTGTGTTCCACCGCAGGGGATGCAGCAAGAGCCTGTTTGGAACTATTGGGAAGGAGGATGGGGAGAGGAGAAAGCAGAAAGAACGCGAGTCAAATTGGGAACTCCTCCCCCCCCCAGATAATTTATAGTCCCACAGTGCTGGAGGTGAGGGATACGTCATACTGTAGGTAATGGGAAAAGATCCGTCTAATATCTATGGGAGGTAAAAAGAGGGAGGAAGGGAGATCGGGTGTGTGGAAGAGAAGGAGGATTTTTGCTCTTATTTTCTAATTCCCTTCCCAGGACATGCCCAGGGCGGCTGCAGAACTCCAAAATCCATGCTCTAGCACAGCACTCATAAACTGCTTGGATGCACGTTATTATAGCACTTGCAGATTTCAATGCCTTGAAATGGTTGGTACTTGATGGTGCACTTCTCTTTGCTCACTATCTCTTAGGTTAAAAACAAGTGCCGCATGAGCTATGCAATTTAAGTGTCGACCCATCCTAGACAAAAACTGGACTGAAATGAGATGGTACTTTTTTTATATTTTTTTTATACTTGAAATTAAATCTTTTGCTTCTTTTTTTAAAAGCGAATGATTGCTTTTCATGTTTGCACTGATGTAGTTGCATGATGTAGTCAAGAGAAACTGCCATTTGAAAAAAAAAGTTATTTTTATAGCAGCAAAAATAATAATAATAATAATGAATACAGTGAAATGTATTATACATAAAATTTTGGAACCAAAGAGGCCAACATATGAATAGTAATTTTTATCCGATGGCAAGGCCATCATATCATATGTCTATATATCATGTGATGATCCTGAACACTCTCCAGTGAGGCCTACCAGTTCTTTTTCAGGGCACGAGATGGATTCTATTGTGTTTGGTCAGTGTATTTTCTATACCATCATACATAGCAGACATTATAAGATGTACATCCTTTAAATGAAAGAAAATAAGAAAGAAAACCCAATTGTTGTTTATTTAATTAATGTCCCTTATAGGTTCTGTTCCGTAATAATTTAAATACCAAACAACTTTCACTTAGATTTGCTGTCGGAGTATTTTACATTTGTGTACAGTTTAAGTAAATAAAACAGAAGAGAGAGAAAAAAAAAGTTTTGAGAACCACAGCGGCTTTTTGCAGTTACACTGGCCTGCTTAATAAAGTTTGTTAACAAGTGTCCGTAGCTTGGGAGATCAAGGGCTCCTTGGCTGAACATACTTCTGCACTGTTGAATGGGGCCACGGATGTATAACCGTTTGAAGGATAAGGGCCAATTTGCTCCCAGTCTGAGTGCAAATCTCATTAAAGTGCATGCAGTTAGTGGTGCAAGGTGCAAATTATCTGGGTTGGGGTGGAGGAATACAGTCTCGGGCCTTGACAGTACCAAGATGAACTTAGATGCTGTTCCCTCCTGCCCTTTCACGGTGTTACCTTTTGTTGTTGTTTAATTTCTCAGTGAAAGTTGATGGGAGGTGAAACAGCTCACCTGGGCTGGATTGTTATTTTTCAAACTTCTGAACTGAAGGAATGTCTTCCACATGGATGGATCTGCTGTGTGGAATTCCTACCTTTGTGCCACGGAACATCTGCAGGTGATGGCATGGTGGCAGTGGAGTTTTAGCAACAGATGGGATGCCTGTCACTTAGCCATTTGTTATTGCCTTCTAGATATCGTGACCCACAGGCTGCACAGCTCATGGTTCAGGATGACGGGGAATTGTAGTCCACTTAACATCTGGAGGGCTACTGGTTTGCTCACTCCTGTGTTGAAGCATATACCCCTCCCCCCAAGAGCTTGGAAGAGTTACCTTTTGGACTTCAGCTCCCAGAATCTCCCAGTCTAAGGGATTTGTGTAGCTGTAGTTCAGCAATCACTTTTCTAAGCTCCTATGCACTCAGTATATGCAGGGCGCAACCTGAATCCATTGGCTTCCCTGTTGCTTTGGGTGGCCTGGATGTATGCCCTGCAAAAAGGTTAATGCTTTCTTTCCCACAGTTTCATAATGCAAATCAAGATTCATGGAAGGTTGTGTGCTCTTGTTAATATCCTCCCTGAAGAACTCTTATTAAAGCTGGGGCTCTTGAGGAACACATGTTCTAGGTCTAAGGCTGCAGCTGTGATTTGTTGAAAAATGCAGTGAGGAAATAAAGGAATATTTGAAATGCACAGTATCTATTTAGTAGTGGGAGCCGAACTAATACATAGTGTACCCCCAGCTGGCACCCTGCAGATGCATTGGAATATACAGTGGTGCCTCGCTAGACAGTTACCACGCAGTTCTTTTTCAGGGCACAAGACGGATTCTATTGTGTTTGGTCAGTATATTTTCTATACCATCATACATAGCAGACATTATAAGATGTACATCCTTTTCGCTAGACATTGGCTTTTTGCAATCACTATAGCGATTCGCAAACAGTGATTCCTATGGGGAAATATCGTTGGACAATGTTTGGTCCCTGCTTTGCAAACCGATTTTTGCAAGACGATGATTTTGACAGCTCCCTCCGCGCTCACAAACAGGTGTTTTCGGGACCTAAGCTTCACACGACAGCGATTTAAACAGCTGATCAGCGGTTCACAAAGTGGCTTTCCTATGGCTGATCTTCGCTAGACAATGACAATTTTTCCCCATTGGAACGCATTAAACAGGTTTCAATGCATTCCAATGGGGAAATGCTTTTTGCTAGACAATGATTTCGCTAAACAGCGATTTCAGTGGAATGAATTATCATCGTCTAGTGAGGCACCACTTCTAACTCCCATTATTCTCAATCACCAGGATCATACTGATGGTGAGTGATGGGGTATGTAGCCCAGTCCATCCGGAAGGTGCTGGTTTGAGGAAGCCTGATGTGATTGATACAGATGTCAATGTTCTTTTTCTTTGGTTATAGGAGTTCTGCCTCTTGGTAGAGCAAACTGTTGCCTGTCCCTCTTTGCAGAGGTTGGGCTCCAGAGCAGATGGAGAGGAGCACTTTTAGGGCCACATGTCATTGATTCAGGGAGTCTAGCCTTTATCATCTAAGAAGGACCAAATCTTGCAGGCGCTTAAGAGTCATGTCCTTGGAATAACTGCACTGTAGAATACGGGTCACTCTCTGGATGGCTCTCAGGGCTCTGTCCATTTGCTCTGTGTCAGCTACTCTGATTGAAACACCAAGTTTTCTAGTGATGTTGGGGAATAGCCTTCCCAAAGTATCTGTGAAGATTGTCAGTCGTCCAGGTGAGATTATCTGGAAGTTGAATCATGGCAACTGGACTTTCTTGAAACATTTCGCTACTCATCCAAGTAGCTTCTTCAGTCTAAAGAAGCTGCTTGGATAAGTAGTGGAACATTTCAGTCTAACAAGAAAGAAGTCCATAAGTAGTGGAACGTTTCAATCTAACAAGAAAGAAGTCCAGTTGCCATGACTCGACTTCCAGATAGCCTTCCCAAAGAGGTTGTAATCCAGATGGGATTACATCTCCCATCCCCTTTGGCCAAGAGCCATGTTGATTGAGGCTGATGGGAGCTGTAGTCCAGAACACCAGGGAGGGGCTCTAGATTGGGAAGGATTATAGCAGAAAAATCTAGTTGTCCTACAGCATATCGGCAGCTGTTCAAAATACATCCCAGCAGGGGCCATATGAGACATGCCAAGCTGTACACTGTCCAGTGTCTTAGCACTAATGTACATGAGTGTGAATGCTATATACAAGATGTAGGCATCTTTCCTCTCAGATTTAACAAGAGGTTATGGGGGCATATGTCTACAATTTCTCTCATTTTAAAAGAGCTTAAAATTTGAGCTAATAATTTAGGAGATGTGCACTAAAGACAAAAATCAGGACATAACTAAGTCAGGGATTTGTTAGGCTTTTGTTGTTGTTTAGTCATTAAGTCGTTTCCGACTCTTCGTGACCCCATGGACCAGAGTACGCCAGGCCGTCCTGTGTTCCACTGCCTCCCAGAGATGGGTCAAATTCATGTTGGTAGCTTAGATGACACTGTCCAAACACTGTCATCCTCTGTCGTCTCCTTCTC